CTAGAGGAACGACAGGAAAGTTTATTAACGGGAATATCAGCAGAAACAGAAACGAGAGTAACCTCATTAGCGGAAGCAGCATCAGCACATCAACAGACGCAGCATCCTCGGCAAGAGCAGGGAAGCAGAAGCCTTATCATCAGTGCATGCATCATCAGCACTAGCCGTGAGATCAGAAGGAGAAACATCTTTATCGACAGAAGCATAGGGCGCAGCATCGTTCATCAGCAACAGAGAGAGAGAGAGGGAGAGAGAGAGAGAGAGAGAGAGAGAGAGAGAGAGAGAGAGAGAGAGAGAGAGAGAGAGAGAGAGAGAGAGAGAGAGAGAGAGAGAGAGAGAGAGAGAAGCATAAACACTATCAGCATAGTCATGAGCAGGAGAAGCAGCCTCAGCATCAAAAGAGGCTTCACCATTAGCAACAAGCAGGAGCATAAGAAAAAAAAGCATCATCAGAAATGCACCGTCATCTTCATCGGGAGAAGCAGCATCCGCATCAGCATAAGCAGGAGAGATTTCAAAGGCATCAGCAGAAGAAGCAGAAGAAGTAGAAGAAGCAGACGAAGCAGAGGAAACAGAAGAAGCAGAAGACGAAGAAGACGCAGAAGACGCAGGAGACGCAGAAGACGCAGAAGAAGCAGATAAAACAGAAGAAGCAGAAGACGCAGAAGACACAGAGGAAACAGAAGAAGCAGAAGACGCAGAAGAAGCAGAGGAAATAAAAGAAGCAGAAGAAGCAGAAGAAGCAAAAAAAACAGAAGACGTAGAAGACACAGAGGAAACAGAAGAAGCAGAAGACGCAGAAGACACAGAGGAAACAGAAGAAGCAAAAAGAAGCAGAAGAAGCAGAAGAAGCGCGGGGAACAGCATCGCCAACGGCCCAAACGGAGTGTGTGGCTGCTTTATTGATGTTGACCCACCGCTGCCTCCGACACCATCGCGCTGAGAAACTGTTATGACTCTATCCATTCTGGATATCGTGAATGGCGGTGAATCACGGGTCCCGCAGGAAATATTACTCGATATTAAGAGAGAAGAGGAAGGTTTTAGTAAGTCTTAACCCCCCCTACCCCCCTCCTCCCATCCCATCCCTCGGACTCTCTCTCTCTATCTCTCTCTTTCTTTGTCTGTCTGTCTGTCTGTCTTTCTCTCTCTCTCTCTCTCTCCCTCTCTCTCTCTCTCTCTCTCTCTCCCTCTCTCTCTCTCTCTCTCTCTCTCCCTCTCTCTCTCTCTCTCTCTCTCTCTCTCTCTCTCTCTCTCTCTCTCTCTCTCTCTCTCCCTCTCTCTCTCTCTCTCTGTCTCTGTCTCTGTCTCTCTCTCTCTCTCTCTCTCTGTCTCTGTCTCTGTCTCTGTCTCTGTCTCTCTCTCTCTCTCTCTCTCTCTCTCTCTCTCTCTCTCTCTCTCTCTCTATATATATATATATATATATATATATATATATATATCTACCTGTCTATCTATATAATTTTCTCTTTCTCTCTCTCTTTTCCTCCTTCCCTTTTTCCTTATCCTCCCCTCTCTCTCTTCCTCCCCCCTTCCTTTCCTCCTTCTCTCCGTGCCACCCTTCTTCCCTCCCTCCCTACCCCTTCTCTCCCTCCTTCCCTCCCCTATCCCTCCCTCCCTCCTCTCTCTGTCCCTTCCTTCCCTCACTCCTTCCCCCCTCTTTCTCCACTTCCCTACCCCCCCTCTCCCCCTACCTCCTCCTCCACTCTTCGCCTTTCCTGAAACTGACTAATCTTTCCACGGGAAGAGGGGGGGGGGGGAAGGGTACGAGCAAAAGGGAAGTTTACTTATTTATATATATATTTTTTTCACGTGATTAGGCAAGAGTACATGCTTGTCCTTTCTTGGCTCTATTATGATAATTTGCAAATATATATAGTATAATAAATGTGATTATAATAAATAGTGTTAAATTATTTTTTATAGTAATTATAATTATCATTACAGATGTAAAGACGGAGACAATAATGGCAATGATTATAATACTCATGATATGAACAATAATGTGGATGATAATAATGAACACGATAATATTAATTATAATAAGGATGATGATGATAGTAATAGTAATTAAGATAAAAATAGTAATAATAATAATAATAATAACAATACTAATGATAATAATAATGATGATGATGACTACAAAAAGTAAATAAATAAACAAATAAATAAATAATAATCATAATGGTAACACACACACATGGTACTTTAAAAGAAACGCTCCGACAAACAAAAGCGAAATACAGTCTACTTTTCTCCTTGATGTTCGCTATCAAAAGGCACACAAAGAGAATGACAAAAAGAAAATAAAAGAAGTCACACACACATAGAAATGTATATATAATATATATATATATGTATATATATATGTATATATATGTATATATATATATATATATATATGTGTGTGTGTGTGTGTGTGTGTGTGTGTGTGTGTGTGTGTGTGTGTGTGTGTGTGTGTGTGTGTGTGTTTGTGTATGCCTCTGTGTATACACATATATATATATATATTTACATAGAATAACTTTTTCCCTCACCCTTCCCTTCCCCTTTCCCCTTCTCTCGCCCGAAAGTCTTCGTCGCAAACCCCTCCCGCTTCTCCCCCCTCCCCCTTCTCCTCCACTTCCCCGCCTCACATCTGGTTAATTCATACTCCCGTTGATTAATTAACTAACGAGCAAAACGCACACGTAACAAGGTAGTTAGGGAGTAACTGGTCATCCGTGTGGGGGGGGGGAGGGAGGGAAGGGAAGGGAGTGAGTTAGTAAAAGAGGATTTTTAGGGAAGGACTTTAGGGCAGGAAAGTAAGGTAAGGAAGGGAATTCGACAGGGAGTTTAAGGGAGTAAATTAAAAGAAAAGGGGGAGGGAGGGAGGGTTAAGGGAGGGGTATTTAGGGAAAGGAAGTAAGGAGAAAGGGAGAGACCGAGAGTGTCAGGGAGAAGGGTAATGGGTAGGAGAGAGAGAGAGAGAGAGAGAAGGAAAAGGAGGTGGAGGAGGAGATAGAGGAGGAGGTGGAGGAGAAGGTGGGGGTGGAGGAAGAGGCAGAGGGAGAGGAGGAGGAGGAGGAAAAGGGGGAGGAACAGGAGAGAGTAAGGTAGGGAGGTAAAGGGAAGTGTTTATAGGCAGAGATGAGAAGGCAAGAGCACAAGAAAGAAGAGGAGAAAGAGTAGGAAAATAAAGGTAAGCGGTCAGGTAACAAAATAGGTAGATAGGTAAAGGGGGAGAGGGGAGGGTGATGAGTGGAAGAGTGGGGGGGGGGATTTGAAAGGGGGAAGAACGGGAAAAGGAAAGGTGGGGTTGGGAGGTGGGGGAGGGGAGATAAAAGGGGGAAGGGAAAAGAGGGAAAAGGGAAACTTGGAAAAGGAAGAGAGATAAAAGAGGGCAGGAAGAAGGAGGGAAGAGAACGGAAGAGGGGGAGGGAAATGAAAAAGGGGAGGGAGGAGAGGGGGGGAGGGGAAGGGCAATGAAAAAGAGAGGGAGGAGAGGGGGGGGAGGGGAAGGGAAATGAAAAACCGAGGGAGGAAAGGGAGGTTAAGGGAAAAGAAAGAAAAAAAGGGATGGAGGAGATGGGGGGAAAAGAAATAAAAAAAAGGAAGGGAGGAGAAGGGGGGAGGGGAAGAGAAATGAAAAAAAAGAGGGAGGAGAACGAGGTTGAGGGAAGGGAAATGAAAAAAAAGAGGGAGACGACGAGAGGGAGAGGAGAGAGGGGGGGGGGGAGGGCAAGGGAAAGAGGGGTTGAATTGTGGGGGTCGTTAGGGCATCGGCAGTTACGGTGCCTGGAAAGTGGCATTACGGGCCAGTTCAAAGCCGATTAATTAGGGCGTCGCGATTTATTGGGTTTAACAAGCACGAGCCAGCGAGGAGTAGGGGGAGGGGGGGGAGGAGGGGAGGGGGAGTTGCCAGTAATTGAATTGTTGGGTAATTTGTGCATGAAACTTCTCCGGGGTGTTTACATTATTGGGTTATGGCAGGAAGGAAAATTGATATTCGTATATATGAAAAAGAGAAAGAGAGAGAGAGAGAGAAAAGAGAGAGAGAGAGAGAGAAAGAGAAAGAGGGAGAGGGAGAGAGAGAGAGAGAGAGAGAGAGAGAGAGAGAGAGAAAGAAAGAGAGAAAGAGAGAGAGAAAGAGAGAGAGAGAGAGAGAGAGAGAGAGAGAGAGAGAGAGAGAGAGAGAGAGAGAGAGAGAGAGAGAGAGAGAGAGAGAGAGAGTGGGAGAGAAAAGAAAGAGAGAGTAAGAGAAAGAGAGAGAGAGAAAGATAGAGACAGATAGATAGATAGATAGATAGATAGAGAGAGATAAAGAGAGAGAGAGAGAGAGAGAGAGAGACAGTTGATTTGTTTACAGTCGATTGAGATTGAAGGTTGGCGACAGCATTCAACCTGCCCGTGAAATGCGGGAATGATTGACATATATATTGGATGTTTGAATATGTAATTCTAACGTGTCCTTGATTTTGCTCCCAGTGATAGGGTACGTGCTCTGGAAAAAAGTTAAATCTGAAATTGATTTCAGGAGGATGGAGAAAAAAGCGAGAGAGAGAAACAATGTTATTTTCCCCATTTGGTTAAAGCATTTATTTAGAAATGAATTACAGTGATAAAAGACGGAGAGAAAAAAAAATCACTCCAAAAACAAAAGATGAAGAAGAAGGATAAGAAAAAAGAACAAGAAGCAGAAGAAGAAAAAGAAGAAGAAGGAGAAGAAGAAGAATAAGCTGAAGAAGAAAGAAAAATAAGAAGATAAAGAAGTAAAAGAAGGATAAGAAAAAGAAAAGAAGGAAAGAAAAGAAAAAAAAGGAGAACAATAAAACAAAAAACAGACAAACAAACCCAAACCGGCCAAGAATTCAAACGACCTCACTCCACGATTGACCAATTGAACGGTCCCATTACCCCCTTCCCCCTCCCCCCCTCCCCCCGTATATGACTTCACGGGGTTAAAAAAAAAAAAAAAAAGAAAAGAAAAAAAAAGAGAAAAAAAGGAGTATTTCACTTACCTGAGCAAAATAAGGTGACGTGAGTGAGTTGCCACCGGCGGGGACGAGACCAGGAACTTCTCCGGCTACGCACCCGCCATGGTAC